TGAATTGAAAGAAAAATGTTTGTGGATGAAAGAAATAAGGGAGGAATAAAAGGAAGAAAAAAAGGAAAAGTTGAAAAAGCTAAAATGAGAAAAGAGGTAAAGAGAGAAAACGGAAAGAAAGAAAGAAAGAAAGAAAGAAAGAAAGAAAAGAATGCACTGAAAGTAAAATGCCTAACGATGTCCGTAGAAAGAAAGAGAGAAAAAGGAAAAAGAGAAAGATGGACGATGTATACGAAAGAAAGGAAGAAAGAAAGAAAGAAAGTAAAGAATGCTCTGAGAGAAAAAAATGTCTAACGATGTACGTAGAAACAATGAAAGGGAAAAGAAAAAGAGAAAAAAGATAGACAATGAATATGAAAGAAAGGAAGAAAAGGAGAAAGAAAGAACGAAAGAAAGAAAGAAAGAAAGAAAGAAAGAAAGAAAGACCAAATGAGAAATCTGGTAGAATGAAAATAAATAGAAAATATTGTTTTTTCTCTCAATTGTGCTCAGCATCCGATACGGGGTCACTAGGGGCATGTTGTGAAAGCTGTTGCTATTTTCAATGAAGGGCGAGCGAGCGAGCGAGCGAGAGAGAGAGAGAGAGAGAGAGAGAGAGCGAGAGAGAGAGAGAGAGAGAGAGAGAGAGAGAGAGAAACATATGAAGCAAGGGAGAGAAAGCTATAGAGATAAACGAGAGAAAAAGAAAGGGAAAGAGAGATGTGTGTTTGTGTGTGTGTCTGTGTATGCGTGTAAAACAAAACAGGATAGAGAGAATTAGTAAGAGTGAGTAAAAGCTGAGTATAAGAGAATTAAACACACACACACACACACACACACACACACAAAAACACACAAAGGCTGTTTGAGTTGAACTTCTTCCTTACCAGTGGAAGACGAAGGGAAGGTGGAGGCGTCGAACATGTGCAGGAGGCATGGCGAATCCTAGCTGTAAAGATTTGAACTGTTGGAACTAAGGAATGTAGCTCGTCTAAACATTTGCCGTGGTAATAGCGACAGAACGTTTCGACTGTGTAGAAACGGGTTGTAGAATGGAACATAATTCCTCAACCACAAGGCTGCGTAACGTCGTTTGAACTCTATCAAGGCTGGAAACTGACGACTGAACAGATATGGATGCAATATTCCATTTATTTATTTATTTTTTTTGGTCTGCTCTGTCTTTTGTAAAGATAGGACATGCCAGAAGGAGTAAAGTACCTTTTGGAGCTGTACAAGGAAGCAACCGTTTTCCTATCATATTTAGCGATGGTTGTATGTACGAGTTTCACTCGAGATTCGGAGTGAACCTTAGTCTCAATAGAGTTTAAGGCAGGTAGTCTAATTGAGAGAGGAACAGTTCGTCACAAATAGAGAACATCTAGGTTGGTTTGGTTTGTTTTACGGTATATCAGACTCGAAATGTATTGCTGGCATTAATATCTATTTTTATACTTTCATAGTGTTTCGAGTTCCTTCTGAGGGTTAACTATTTGTCCATAGCTGGGACCCTGACAGAGAAGCCATAGCTGGAGAGTTTGATATCAAGAACGATCACTCTTGTGACAAATTTATTATCGAGCATTTCATTGAACCTTTGTGTAGGAAGATAAGTTCCACGGACATGGTTGCAAACTTTATCATCTCCCAGGAGAGGAATACGGAAATACGAGGGGAGGTACAAATGACATTGGTAAACCAGCACAAATATTAATGATCTGTGCTAAAGACAGCGGTCTAGGGATATATTTGTTACAAATTCAGCAATGTGCCATATCTTACAACAGAGGCGTGTTCTCAGTACCGAACAAGCCTAATTTTGAATTTCATTTTAAGATGTCGGAATCTATTTATATTAAGTCTTATCAGCCATCTCTGTAAGCAAAAGGAATTGTTGGAAGGCATAAAGGTAATTAGCCTAGTGTTAATAAATAAATGGGACGTTGATTCAAATATGGGTATCCAGTAAAAATAAAATTTAAAGTGATAAAAATCGGATTAATAGAAAAGAACCCATTACTTCGTTAGAAAATGACTTTATTTACGTTTGGATAGGAAACAGAGCAGAGATGATAATTTCGAGTAATCTATGATGAGAAAAAATTCATTTAAAATCATTGTTCAGACCTTTCTCGACCGGCTAAGCTTCTTCGTGGCCTAGTCGATTAAGGCACGTCGAATCTAACAAAGATTTCGTTCTACCCAGAGGGACGCAGTTTCGAATCCTGCCGGAAACCGATATTTTCTTTAATTAGATTTCTAGAATATTCAAACCTTTTGACGAAAATGAATAAGTATGCTTTTTAAGAAATAAGCGGACTCTTTATTCAGATAAACAGATATTTATTAAACAGCATACTCACTTATTTTCACCTATCTATCTATCTATCTATATATGTATTAACACTTATATTTTCTAAAGAAGGATTTTTTATATATTAATCCGACAGATTTTATCCCTTTAAATGTTACCAAAATTAACATTTAAAATGATAAAACTCTGTCGGATTAATACAAGGGTCATTCTATAACTAAGGTGAATTTTTCGGTATAAGGACTTCTAATACAGATAGAAGCATTTTTTTTCAACGTCTGTCACACACTTCTTCCATCTGTGCACAAGGTACCGTATTCCCTCAGCGTAAAAATCTTTCGACTGATGTCTCAGCCAGTCGCTCAAAACACTTTTGACTTCATCATCACTTCGTGCCTCTCGTAACTGAACGCTGTTCAATACTGGAGCATGCCTCTTGGTCGGCCATTTTTGTTAATCGCCAAAACTATCAAAGGTTTTTTTAATCAGCAAAAGAAATTAAATCCATGTGAAAAAGAAGTAAAACAACAACAAAAATAAATAAATAAAGTAAGCTTCTATCTGTATTAGAAGTCCTTATACTGAAAAATTCACCTTATTTATTGAATGACCCTCGTATATATAAAAAAAATCCTCTTTATAATGTAAATGTTAATCTATATCAACGTGAAACAAAAGATTATTTCTTGTAGTGACTATTAGACATCTATTTTCTTTAACCCTTAGTAGATAAAACTGAACTTGTATACAAGTGAATACCAACTGACCATTCAATGATACACGCCAACTGAATCGTCCCAAGGAACGTGACAGTTTTGATGCCGTCTCAGCGTACCATGAAATTAGTGATTTCTTTGGTGATTTGGATGGTACTTAAACTTGATCATATATAATCTTTCTATTTTTCTATTGGGAACAAAAAAAAATGAGTCTGTGCGGAAAAGGGTTGAAAGTTTTTTTTAGGACACCAGGAACTTCTCACCACTGTCAAACGGAGAAAAATTGCGTGGTTTGGGCACATTACAAGGCCAGACGGCCTGTGCAAGACCATCATGCAAAGCATCGTTGAAGGTGGACGTAGGAGAGGGCGCCAACGCCAAAACTGGTTGGACAATGTCCAACAATGGACAGGTATGACTGTACTAGAATTGCTGATGACCGCCGTTGATAGATCGTCGTAGAAAAGAGTTAGTATGGCTTCTGGATTCGGATCCCCCCTGCTACGATTACAAAAGTCGAGGGGATGATGATGTTGAGGATGATGATGAGGATTTATTTAAAATTTATGGTAATTGAATTTGATCCAATATAATCTTCCTATATATTAGGTTGTCCCAAAAGTTCGTAAACACTTGCGAAAAATTGAATTTTTATGCAATTTTTAATTGTTTTTGGAAGCGCATTGTGACATCGGACGAGAAATGGCTCTATCTGGTGCAGCACAATCGAGGACAAGCGATGGGTTCAGAAAGGGCAAGAGACACCGTCGGTTCCAAAAACAAGATCGATTCGGCAAGAAAGTCATGTTGTGCGTTTGGTGGAACTTTGAAGGAATCGTGCATTTTGAGTTGGTTCCGAATGGTCGTGCTATCAGTGCCGAACTGTCAGAAACTGGAGCGGGTCTACGAAAAGTTGAAGCAAAAGTACCCGACTCTGATCAACCGAAAGCGCGCTTTGATGCAGCAGGACAATACCAAGCCACACACCGCCAGGAAGACCAAAGACAAGTTTGAAGAGCTGGACGGCGTTGGGGTTCTGCCACATCCAGCCTAGAGTCCTGACTGTGCTCCATCAGATTACGGCCTTTTTTGCTCAATGCAACACTTTCTGAAGGGCCGCCGATTCGACTCGTTTGATGAAGTCGAGGAAGCGTGTCAAGAAATCTTTGATTCGAAGCCGGCTGAATGGTACTTTCACCAGATCCGAAAGCTTGCAGATCGATGGCAGAAAGTCTTGGAAAATGATGGTCTTTATTTTGAGGAATAATTTTTGTTGTTTTTGTTATTACTTGGCGAGTAAAATTTCAATTTTTTGCAAGTGTTTAGGAACTTTTGGGACAACCAAATATTAGTGAATGTTGGCCAGTTTCTTCATAGATGAAGAGAAAACGAGGCAACGGAGTATCTACAAAAGAATGTTAGGAATAATATATAAATAAAATAAAAGGTTGAGCATAAAATGTATCCAAGAATAAGTGTTTGGCAAACTTAAACCTTCATGCCCGAAGTGCCAAAATGAAGCCTTTTCCCTTGACACCGCTATTATTTTAAGTACCTTCACTCTTCGGTAATAATTATTGCTTAAAAAAGCGATTTTTAGAATTGGAATAAAGCTTAAACGGATGATGAAAGTTGAGAATTTACAACAAAAATATTAAACTGTATTTATTTATTAGATTGTTTATTTACATGAATAATTTTATATTTGCAAAATGCTAAAACCTAATACAAATGAAACTAATGAAATACAATATTTATCATTTACCAAAACATTTTTATTCATAAATTTACAAAAATTTACTAAATTCTTAAAATGTGTGAATCAACTATAAAGAAACTGAATACATATGTATATGTATTCACTCAGAAGGAAAATCCTCAAGAGTGCTGCCATTGAATATGATCCAAATATTTGATCAACTCGTCGGCGAATTTGGGCGGCTGAATCATCCTAAGAGATTTGAAATCATATCTTCCTTTACCCGCATTGTAACTCAGGCAGCTACGATATTCTTGTGCATGCATACATATAGACAATACTGTTCCAAAATTTGAGGCTACGACATGGTAATGTTTTAACTCTCCTTCTTTACGGCAGTAAATTTTGGACGACTTCCTCAAAGATGAATGAGAGACTCGAGGCGATATAGATGTGGTTCTACGGAAGGATGCTAAGCATATCATGGACCGGAAGGTCTCCTTCCTGAAAAATCGACCCTGGTGAGATTCGAACCTGGGTCTCATTACCAGAATGTTAACGTTCTAACCACTCATATATATATACATATATATATATATATATATATATATATATATATATATATATATATATATATATATATATATATATATATATATATATATATATATATATATATATATATATATATATATATATATATATATATATATATATATATATATATATATATATATATATATATATATATATATATATATATATATATATATATATATATTTAAAATATATATTTTTTTCGCTACCAACCATATTTCAAAAAATGGAAGCTAAAAGCCACGAATTTAATTTTTGAAACATGGTTAGAACTGTGTAACGAAAAAACATTTTAAATCAATTAATTTATAATATTGATGCTCTTTTTAATTTACATTGAGTACTATTTTGTAAAAATAAAAATATCTATAAGAACACCGGATTATATATCTTATTGTTCTTTTCTTTCTTTCTTTATATATATATATATATATATATATATATATATATATATATATATATATGAACAATTATAACATAAACATGTTATAAAATCACTACAAAAATAGCCATTTTGTTTCAACACTTCTGGTGTCTTATCTACATTCAACACCATCGCTCTGTATTGAGCACTTTTTTAAGAATAGTATTTTTGGTTATTGGAATTGATTACATCTACACCATTCCTATACATATATATATATATATATATAAGTGTGTGTGTGTGTGTGGTTGTGTGTGTGTGTGTTATGTTATAATCTTAATACGAAGAATATAAACGAAATAGATAATTGAAGTCTACTTCTTCTTATCATTATATATATACTATATGCACTTTCTCTGCATCAGTCTCTCTCAAACCTAGCAGTTGGGTTGGGTCAGAATTACCACTGACCAAAGCCATGATTTAAAGTCTGAAAATCAAAGATAATGATCCTTTATATTATCTTTTTAAATTGACAATAAAAAGAAAAATGTTTTCAGTGTTCTGTAGTCTGTGGAGATAAAAACATGTATTGAAAAAAAGCCTAAAAATAATGAAAAAAACTGTAATTGTCAATTCTAATTCCACTTTTTAGTACAGTATTTGTCCTGGATATCAGAAACGTCTACACATTTCTAGCACATTTTAAATATATGTATACTCTTCTTCACTCATTGTAAAGTAAGTGACTACATTTTATTACATATATACATATACAAAAATATTTAAGTAAATGCTCTGTTAATAATAATCAGTATTAACAACATTTACCGGCCTGAATGTCCGAGAATTTTTCACAGAAAATATTCGTCCTCCGACAGGATTCGAACCTGTATCCTATACGGAACAGTCATTTAGCTCGACGTGCCTTTAACCGATTTGGCCACAGAGGAAGCGTCTGGTTAGCAGAGTCTAATTACTGCTTTTACACTACAATTCGACCTATATATAAAAATAACGTACGAACCATATATATATATATATATAATGCTCTGTTTATAATAAACAGTATTAACAACATTTACCGGCCTGAATATCCGAGACATTTTCACAGAAAATATTCGACCTCCTGGCAGGATTCGAACCTGTATCCTATACGGAACAGTCATTTAGCTTGACGTGCCTTTAACCGATTTGGCCACAGAGGAAGCGAGTCTGCTTTTACACTACAATTCGACCTATATATAAAAATAACGTACGAACCATATATATATATATATATAATGTCTAATTACTTTACCGGCCTTATCCGAGACATTTTCACTATCTGAATTCGAACCTATATCCTAAAATAACGTAACCGATGACCAATATATATATATATATAAAAATATATATATATATATATATATATATATATATATATATATATATATATAATAGACAATAGGAAAACTGTAATTTTAACTGACGCGTTTCGTCCAATGTGGACTATTTCAAGGCAAAAAAAGAAATGAATTTATTGAAACACAGTATCTATAAATAATAAACAAAATGTCGTTAGCAACTAGAAGAATTTAGAAACGCTATTGTATATTCATATGGTCGATCGAATAAATTACGTGAATTACTTTGTTTGAAGAGAATATTCTCACGTGTTGAAATATTGTTTGTATTGTTGTATTGACGGATTTAACTGTTTTCTTTTGACTTCTCGATATATTTGTTGTGTACGTTAGCTTGGGAGAGAAATGATTCTGTTAGGAAAGGTGAGATTGGAAAAAGAAAACTGGTCGTAGATTAATATTTGGATAATATTCAATGGCAGCACTCTTGAGGATTTTCCTTCTGAGTGAATACATATACATATATATTCAGTTTTTTTCTCGGCTCTCTCTGGTATGTGCCAAGACATTCACACTATGGGCACTTTAAATTTCACCTTATCCTTCTGAACTATTAAGTTGTGTTATATAATGTATTTATCAACACTGTGTATTTTCTTTGAAATATCACATAAGATCAATATACGCTCAAATTAAATATACAGATATATGGTGTGAACAGGCGTTGTCATCAGATAACAATCAACCATAGGTTGCAATGAATTCTCGATTTAACAGACAAACAAATGTAAATTATACTGCTGCTGATCGAAGTTCTTCATTTAGAGTGTAATTTATCTTTGAACAATTGATAAAACAGATCAAGAAAATGCTAAAATTTTCATAATGAAATTGATATTACTAGTTTAAGTAGAGCAGTTGCTATAATTTGATTTTGTCTATGAGAAATCTGAGAATTTTGCTGATAGAATCAATTCTATTGTCATATGAAATAATGTTTGGTTTGGTTTATTTTGTTTTATGGCATATCAACCTCAATGGGTTATTTCATGCCGACAACATTTTTAGGATAGATTCGTATGAACAGAATATGTATTCTTTGGTTTAATTGGTTTGGTTTATTTTGTATTATGGCATATCAACCTTTTTAATTTTTAGGATAGATTTGGTTTTGGTTTATTGGTTTGGTTTATTTTTGTATTATGGCATATCAACCTCAATGGGTTATTTAATGCCGACAACAATAGATTCGTATGAACAGAATATTTTCTTTTAGATTGGATTGGTTTGGTTTTATTTTGTATAGATATCAACCTCAATGGGTTATTTAATGCCGACAACATTTTAGGATAGATTCGTATGAACAGAATATGTATTCTTTGGTTTAGATTGGTTTGGTTTATTTTGTATTATGTGATCAACCTCAATGGGTTATTTAATTTTTTAGGATAGATTCATGAACAGAATTTTTCTTTGGTTTAGATTGGTTTGGTTTATTTTGTATTATGGCATATCAACCTCAATGGGTTATTTAATTCCGACAACATTTTTAGGATAGATTCGTATGAATAGAATATGTATTCTTTGGTTTAGACTGGTGTGGTTTATTTTGTTTTACGGCATATCAACCTCAATTGGTTATTTAATGCCGACAACATTTTAGGATAGATTGGTATGAATAAAATATGTATTCTTTGGTTTAGATTGGTTTATTTTGTCAGATGGCACACCAACCCAAATGGGCTACTCAATGCCGACAAAATTCTTTATTGCTGGTAATATTTTGTTTTGTCAAAAATCTGTTAAAATTTTTCCTTCAAAATTCTATTGCTGGTAATAATTTTTCCAAAAAAGTATTGCTGGTAATAGTTAACTATTTGCCCATGGCTGGGACCCTAACAGGTGCTACAACCCCGGGTCAGGGTGGACCTGGGAACACCAGCAATTAAGAGGTGGTTCCACGCTTCTCAAAACCTGATCCGAGGCCTTGCTGCTGGACGTAGTTTATCGTCTTACCCAGGACAGTGAAATAGTGTATTCTACAATGTAAATCATTAAGAGTACAGCCATCCGAGCTAAACTAACACACAAGTGTACGTTCAATAATGTTGACCATTTTAAAGTAATTTCGGTATTGCATTGGCAGTGTGGGGTCTGGAGTTTTATTCCTTATAATTAACTCTATAATGAAGTTATAAGGAAATTAAAAAAATATTCAGAGATAGTTAAGACGATCCGTACTGCTGAAAACTGACGGCCATTTTTAAGTCATTTTGGAATTTTATTGTTTATGGTGGTCTAGAATTATTTTCATAATTATCTCTAGAATGAAACTATAATGAAATAAAAAAAATATTCAAAATTAGTTTAAACGATTCATACTTTCGAAAAGTGATGGCTATTTTTAAGTAAAATTGGAAGCTCATTTTATGGCGGTCGAGGATTCTGTTTATAATGAGCTTTATAATGTAACTATAATGAAATTTTTAAAAAATCAAAGATAGATTAGACGATAAATCCTGTCAAAAAATGGCGGTCATTTTTAAGTCAATTCTGAATTGTAATTTTTATGGCGGTCTAGGATTATTTTTATAATGAACATTCTATAATGAGACTATAATGAAATGAAAAAATGGTACTCGGACATTTGGTCGACGGATATTTGGCCGAGGTATATTTCACCGAATGGACATTTGGCCGACGGACATTTAATTGACTTGTCATTTAGCTGAAAGTGTAGTGGCGTACTTACATATATGTCACACTCATATATCGTAATGTGCTACATATATTTATATTTATTTAGTGTACTAATTTATAATTTTTCGATATTTCTTTTTACAGGCTTTTTAAAAATCTATTCGGTATATATTATATTTTACTTCAAATATTACTGTAAGATGATAAGTATTTCGAGAAAAAGCACAATTTACTACAGCAAAAATATTAAGCTTTTACGATATGAAAGTTCTTTCAATTACG